AATCATCACCACCATCAGTCACTACCACAACTACATATTATCATGACCATCAACACACTATAACCATCAGCCACCATCACCACCACCACCACACCATCATCACCACCATAATCACTACCATCATTATCATCACCACTGTTAACATTACCATCACTATCATCGCGACAACCAACCATCATGAAAATATATTTGCATCAGCACAAACCTTCTTTATGAGCCTCAGGTGGTGTAAACCTGACACCCTTAGTGCTCACATATTCCTCCTGCGTTACTGAAGATTCAGACGAAGCTATATCGGCGTGGTTGGTTTCTACAGATTCTTCCTGGTCGATGGTTTCAGTTGATGTGCCATGTTCTAGTGGACTGTCTTCCTCTGTCGTAATGCTGCTTGCACGACTTTCCTGTTGGGGGAAATTGCAAACAGAGGTCAACGTGAATGACAAGTGCACGCCAATGACAAGTGGAGTTTAGCTCTAAAGCTAAACTGCTGTGGTTGGTGTCTGAAGCACCTGAAAATGACTAAAGCCCTGGTCAAACGGGAATGAGAGTTGACAAGCGAGAGTTAACATCACGAGAGCTTTCTCAACTCTCATGCCTCGGTCAAACGAGAACAAGAGTTGCATGAGAGTTGATGAAAGTTGACAAGCGAGACTTTCCATGAGAGTTTTCTTAACTCTCTTGCCTCGGTCAAACGAGAACAAGAGTCGCATGAGAGTTGATGAAAGTTGACTGAATATTACCGCGCGATAGCGAAAACTCTTATTAACTGATTCAATTCTCACTAAAATTTGAACCAGTTCAAAGTCAATGAGAATTGATGGCCGGAGCTTAATTCCTGTATAAACAAGAGTTGCATGAGAGTTGATGGCCGGAGCTTAATTCCCTGGACAAACAAGAGTTGCATGAGAGTTGATGAGATTTGTTCAGATGTTACTGGTCAAATGACCACAAACCCTCATCAACTCTCGTCAAAATTTGAACCAGCTCAAAGGTGATCCACAACAACCTGGACATAATTCTGTTCACCGGAATACCTTATCAACGACGTCATCCTCAGTCCCAGGCTCTCCTTCGAGAGGATCGGTCATCAAATGCGACGCAACGGAATCACAAGTTGGACTGGCTGCATCCTTGGAAGCTTCAGGTCCGTCAGAAGGATCGTTTTCAGGACTACAAGTTAGAAATTTAACCATTAATGCCCATGACTTTGCACTCGTCGAGTACACTAAAACTATGGTTTACACTATCAAAGTTTCTGTGATCACAGTAGGAATTTTGCACAGCTAAATTCTAAGTTTTGATGGATTTGCAAGAAATTTTTGTGGGACCCGACTAACTGATCAAACCTGAGTCAGTTTCCTCAAACATTTCTTCCTCAAAACGCCGAATTTATATACCTATGCAAAATTCCTACTGTGATAACAGAAACCCCGATAGTGCATGTAAAGCGGCTCTAAAGGTCTATTTCCACTCAACAAAAATTTCCATGGACAGAAAATATTCCGAAAATATCATTGTTAAAAGTTGAAAATTTTCAACTTCAAATTTTTTTCCCATGTAAAAGTTGTGTCGGCCAATCACATTTTACAAAATTTTCTTCTGCGGAAAATTTTCCTGAGTGAAAATGGGCCTTAACAGGCAGTTGGCACTTCAACAGAAGCAGGCTTTTTTTCAGGGATTTTTTAGGGCCGTTAAATGGCCCTAAAAACTCAATCTTGAATTGAGTTTTGAAACTCAATCTTCTCACCAAAGTTTCAGTGCAGTAAAAATGAAGTTGTTTGAGTTAAATTCGTGACGTGTGGAAATTAGTTTTCAGTTGGAAACAGTGGCGTGCTGGCAGGGGGGGGGCGCCCCCCCCCAGCTGGCAATTTTTGGGGGGCGCAAAAATGAAAAGGGGGCGCCGATCCTGCGCAGAATTTTGAAAGTGGGTGGGAAAAACGCATTTGAAAAAATATAGTTACTTCCACCAAGAAAAAATGTGTTATAGGCTTATAAACAGACTGAGCGCATAGGCGACAAAGTGATATATTAAATTACAGACTATTTTGTCTAACCAGCCAGTATTGCTACCTCACACGAAATCGTTCATATAGAAACATGATCAGTGATCACACGCAATGTCGCATTACCGGAATATTGGCCAGGTTTCGAAGCGATCACGCGAATTATGCCCTTTTTTTGCTTGTATTATGCCCTTATATTATGCCTTTATATTGCTTCACGAATCACGAGAGCGGCGCAAATTAGATAGTTATGATAATGTAAAGTTGTGTACGCAATTTAGTTGTTTGAACAAGAAACATCGTAACTCATCGAGTAATGTAAGTAGTAAGATAATGCTGAAACGCACGCCCTTTTGGCAGCCAGGCAAGGAAACCTTAAACGGCATGGTGTACCACTGACATCGACTTGCACCGATGTGCAGATGAACTGCTCAACTTTGCAGAATCTTTTCAAAAATCGAAGTGTTCAGTGATTTTTCATGAAGACCGAAAGAAGAAGAGAAAGATTCTGATCTAGACTCCGGTTCTGAATCTGAAACCGAAGACTACGAAGAAGAAACCGACAGCGAGTCAAGCGACGACGGAACTGCTGAAGAACCAAAGGACAAGGATAAACAATCATTTCTAGAAGCTCTGAGAATTTTGTCGAATCCTGATTACCACCTAGTTGATGCATTTCCAACTCTTTGTAAAGTTTACGCGATCGCAGTTGCAATTCCAATCAAACCCGCACACGTTCGTCTTTGTCTCAAGAAAAAGTTGAAGCATTGCTACTTATGACCGGCACTGAACGGAAGATTTTAATGTCTTTGAAAAAGGAGCAGATTATTACCGCCTTGGAGGTCTGACATCAGAATTGTCGAAGGCGCTTATCTGAAAATGTTTAGAAATGCTATAGAAATCGACAATGGTTATTGAAACATTAAAGA